GTGACTTGACACTTTATTAATACAATCAGTTAACTTGTATTTTCTATCTAATATATTCAGGTATTTATCATCTTACATCTGGGTCATAGGAAAATCCATTTTAAAGTAAAAGGGCTAAGAAATGAAGAAGATTAAAATTATGATAACAATGACAGTAAATCACTGATCAGAAGCCATTCTTGTTTCAAAAGCTTGCTCCCACTTTTAAAATTTTAATCTCTAGAATAATCAAGTGAAAATATCTGTATAAGAAAAATACAGCTGGCAATGGTTTGTACAAAATTGTCAGCAAAGAAATGAAACAGAAATGCAAACGAACATCACAATTTACCAAAATGTTAGTCATAATCACACAAATCAATCACAATGAAGGGCTTAAAATTATAATTATTTACCTGGAAATTAACCATTTACCATTAATTTAAAGAAATACATTCGATGTGTTCTTAATGTTTTCCTTACTACTTCTTTCGCCCCATCCCAGCTTTCTTTTTTTCTTTTTTCTTTTGCGGTGTGTGGGCCTCTCACTGTTGTGGCCTCTCCCATTGCGGAGCACAGGCTCCGGACACGCAGGCTCAGCGGCCATGGCTCGCGGGCCCAGCCGCTCCGCGGCATGTGGGATCTTCCCGGACCAAGGCACGAACCCGTGTCCTCTGCATCGGCAGGCGGACTCCCAACCACTGCACCACCAGGGAAGCCCCCCCCTTTTTTTTTAAATGAGGGTTTCTTGGTTTCCCCTGCTTCACCATCTCTCCCCTGTCCTCTCCCTTTGGCTCTTGTTCCTTAGTGACATCTCTGCTTGGCAGATGTCCCGCAGCCCACCTTTCGTGTCTGTCTGAGACAGAGCATGTCATCCCATCACAGGCTTGGATTCAGATCTCAATGCTCCTTCCTTCATTCCCAGGACCTCTTTCCCATAGATGCAAATCCTGCTAGCAATTAGCATGCCACACAGACAACTGTTTTTTAAAACAGAAAGATTGTCTTTGAGATTAGAATGTTTCTATTAATTATAGGAACAAATAGAAATTACATGATCAGCTCTTGCAGGAAGCAAGCTATTATAATTTTTAAGTAAATGTAAATTTTTAAGTTGCTAATGTTTTTTCCACTTGGAGAGCTCTTATGAGTGTCATTAAATTTAATATCTGTGTCATTTTTTCCATGGAAATTTAAGAATTTATGTCCTCTTTAATCCAACATATTCCCCACTTTACTTTTTAAAAAAATGAATAAAAGTCCAAAACATGTCTAGTTAATTCCTTATGAATTTACTGTTCTTCAGAATTTTCTGTGAGATTTATTTGAAATGCAGATTTCATGTCTTCCTTCCCAGTTGTCATAAGTCACTCAAGGACTGTGGAGTTTACATTTCACATAAGAAGCTGAGTATTTCATGTATGTATATTTATTTATTTATTTATTTAATTTATTTCTTTTTGGCTGCATTGGGTCTTTGTTGCTGTGCACGGGCTTTCTCTAGTTGTGGCGAGCGGGGGCTACTCTTCCTTGTGGTGCACAAGCTCATTGCGCTGGCTTCTCTTGTTGCGGAGCATGGGCTGTAAGCATGTGGGCTTCCGTAGTTATGGCTCGCAGGCTCTAGGGTGCAGGCTCAGTAGTTGTAGTGCACAGACTTTGTTGCTCCGTGGCATGTGAGATCTTCCCAGACCAGGGCTTGAACCTGTGTCCCCTGTACTGGCAGGTGAATCCTTAACCACTGTGCCACCAGGGAAGCCCCAGCACCTGAATATTTCTGATGCAGGCAGCCTAGTTCCTAGTTCCTAGAAGGAACACTCATATTCACAGGATTGTGAGATCAAGGTAAACATCATCAGACAGTTTGATGCTTTAGTAAACCACGATGCATTGGTTCCTGGTAATAATTTAGAAATTCTGCCAAGGAGATTGGTCTTAATTAGAATGCTGGTGTGGAGACCAATAGCCATGAAAGAGATTAGAGAGTTCAATTCTGCAATAAAGATAGAAAAGAAATATGAATGGACAATAAATACTCTAAATAAACTCAATTTCATTAATAAACTGTGAAAAGCAACCTAAAACAATGTGAACTATTTTCACCCATTTGCTTGTTAAAAATTAAAGATTGGTGTCATCAACCACTATTAAAGATGCAAGGAATTCCCTCACAAACATTGATAGTAGGAATGTAATATGGCAGAGAATATTCAAAGGCAATTAGCAATATCCATCAACTGTTAAGTGAAAGATTTGTTTAAGGAAGACTTGTATATATGCAGAAAGGAATGTATACGAATGTTCAGCATTTCATTGTTTGGAAGAATGCAAAATTGGGAGCATATCATCAATCAGGAAGGAAATGATTAATAACCCAGGAACGTGTGTTCCATAGAAGAGTATAAAATCTTTATAGAAGAATGTGGCAAGCATCCATATATTTCATTCTGAAAACTCTCCAAGACATATTTAGTGGATAAAAAAGAATTTGAAGCCAATTAATATAGAACTGTCCCATTTATTCAAGAAGGATATATCTGAAACACAATATTTACAACTAGGCAAGTGGAAGGGTTTGGGGAAGGGGAAGGAAACCCTGAAGGAAGGCTTTCAACCTATATCCTTTAAATTTTTTTTTACAATAAAATATATTCATGAATTAAAAGGAGGTAGAAGAAAATAAGCAACAAAGTTCAAAAATAAGCAGATTTTTAAATATGGCAAAGTCTCACTAATTTTTAGGAAGTGGGAGAGGTTTGCTATGGGGCATTGTTTTAAAAAATGTGTCTTACTCTTGATTTTTCCAAGAGTAGTATCCCTTATAAACTAAGGTATAAGTTTAATAGATAAAATGAAGCATGTCAATAAAAAATTAAATCCATGGAAGATCAGATCTATATAAAAATGTATCATTATCAGAAAGAAAATTTTTGCCTAGAGGAATTGTTGTTAAATTGCTTGCTTATAGATACAAGGATAACAACTATGAAAGTACTATGCTTTGTTGGGATATCATGGCTGCCTGTTAAATTTTCTTTCTTTCAATTTGTTTTCTATTGCTATAATAGTGTTTATCCAATAAGTACTCTAAAAGAATAGCTCAGCCCAGAATTCTCATTTTATTAAAACCATTTGAAAACAATGCTTTTAGTCTGAATTCTTCTTGCTTTAAGAAATTCACAGATTAAAAAAAAAAAAAAGAAAGAAAAAAGAAAACAAGTCACTCCGAATGCAGAAAGAAGTATCTAGGCCATTTCAGAATTACAAAGTCTTAGTTGGTAAAATCTGGGTTAATGTGGTGCATCATTATTCCAAATTAAAGATCTGATTTTAAGTCATAGCTCATTCTCAGGAGAGAGACAAACTTGTATTCTCATATACAATCGCTCGTGGTTTTCACTTTCTAATATTATTTAGATTTAGAGTCAGAAATAGGTATAGCTCTCTCTAGATATGCTTATTTCATTTCTTTTAATTTGTTTGCGTAACTGAATAAACAGTTGTCAGATAATGTTCTGGCATCTTCTGCACTCTATGGTAATACACATCCATTTCCATTGTGCCGGGACCAAGTCCAGTCTACACTAAAAGTAAATTCAGTAACTGATAAAACTCAACAGGTTTACTAAGCTGACAATGCCCTCCTACTATGTAGTTGCATTGTACATTTCATCACCAAATATTCATGAATGAGAGGTCAAAGATGGCTGATTCGAGGTCAGCTCTGGAGAAAGATCCTGGAATAGTCATTCTGGAACTTTGCAGCAAATGGAATCACCTGGGGAGATTTAAAAACTCCCAGTGGCTGAGCTTCACTCCATACCAATTATATCAGAAACTCCTTTGGTGGGACATGGGCCTCAGTAGTTTTTAAAGCGGCCCACGTGATCTGAAAAGCCGCTAAAGCTGAGAACCAGCGTCCTTGAGAATATTAAAGACTTTCAGGGCAGCAGTGCCCACAGCAAATCCGAGCAGCCAGAGGAAGTAGTAGAAGTAAGAGTGCAAGGTAAAAGGAGCCACAGACTCCATGTTGGATTAACAGGGCAGTTGGTGTTTTGCTTAAAAGAAAAAAACAAGATTTAGAGCCCTAAATGAAGGACCACAGTTGTTACGACTTTGACACCTGTGCCTTTCATTGGAAATGAAATAATTAGAAGTTAGGCCACCTGTGTGTATTTTCCCCACCTCAAATGAGATCAAAGTTCAATTATTTAGAGACTAGAGTCCAAAGAATTAGAAGATACTAGAGATCAGCTTAAGCAGGTGGTTTACTCTTTTTCTGTTTTTGGTACTTAAGCAACTTTCTGCATATTCTCCCTGCCTCTACAATAGGCCCGTGTCACCTGGCAGCCACGAACAAAGCTTTCAGGGCGATGGAATATGTGTCTGCTCATCCATTTCAAAAAAGAAAGAAAGAAAGAAAGAAACATAAAAGGCCTTATGGCCACAGTAGATGTTTAAATACGTGCTGCTGGAACACAAATTTCAGCCATTTTTAAGACCACAAGCTATTCATAAGTTTAACGGTTTTTAAATGTCCGTTTAGGCACAGAAACCACAGGCTTTGTTTATTCTGGTTTTGTTTTTTTGTGTATGCGTGTGTGTGAAGGAAGAGCTGAGAGGTCTCAGGGGGCGGGGGACCAGAAGCAGCCTAGAAATGTGTGCTCACCCCTGGACCCCAGTGAAGGAGCTTCTTTTTGTCAAAAGAGGGAGCAACCCCTAGCTTTTCCAGAAGCAGCGGAGGACAACCCCAGCCTCAGCAAAGGTCAAGAGAATGGTTTACATAATTCTTTCAGTTCTCACTTTCCACTCTGTTAATGGCCACAACCTGATTTGGCTTGAGGTGTGATCAAGACAAATTTAAATGGCCTGGGGGAAAATTCCACCAATGAAAAGACCTGTGACTTGGGAAGGGGAGGGAGGCGAGGTCTGGCCCAGCCAATCCGGCTTATCCTCGTGCCTTTTCCTCTTCCTCTCCACACCAGCTTTCTAGTCGCCGTTTCGCTCCTCTTCTTTGTCCTCCTGCCCTTCTGGTGCTCCGATCCGGAGTCCCTGGAACCAGCCTCTGGCCCCCTAGATGTACGGCCGCAGGACCTTTGGTAAGTCTTTAAACATCAGTGGGCCTCGTCTTCTCTGTTTGTGCTCAGGGGAGGTGGACTCAGCTCTTTAGTGGCTGGCTGGGGTTTGGTCTGGAGGGGTGGAAAGTGGGGGAAGGCGCTTTATTTTCGCTATTATGAACTTACTGCAGTAATATAAGTAAACTAGTTTTTGGAAGCTAGTTATTTGTGATAACCAGTAGTGGCATTAGACATTGAGTGGACTCACGCCTTAGCTTCTGCCTTTGCGTACGATTGACTGTGACTGAAAGCGTCAACCTGTCTCCTTGCTCCGCTTCATCCCAGGCCTTGGTGTCGTCTAACAGAGAGAACTTCTCAGGGATAGAGACCTTACTGTGGGTTTTTTGAGTCAGTATAAAAACTCTGGCATCAAGAACGCCTTGTGTAGTTTAAGGAGCCTTTGTTTCTGTCTTGGGCTTCTTGCCTAAAGTAAGGCTCAGGTGGGTTTGGACTCCCTATTTTAAAATTTTGCTGACAATGACTGCGGTCTGGTTTTATAGCTCATTAAAAAAAATTTTTAAAACTAAATTTGGTGTCTTTGCTATTAAGGGACAACTATAGACTGAAGCTCTTTTGGTTTAAGAAACATTGAGTGATAGCATGTATTCAGTCTTATTATCTGTGTTCAAATCTCTTAAGCAGTTCGTGCAATTTTTGGTTAATCCAGATGAATCTAGTTGAAAAAAGTGGCCTGTCATCACCCAAGAAACAAACGTTTTAATAGGATCAATCAGTGACCACTATAGTTATAAATTCTGAAGCCTGAAGTTAAGCTGACAAGTCTTCCCTTTCCCCGCCACCTGCTCCTTTCCCATTTTCTTTCAATTGAAAGTTAACATTAATTTCAGGTGTATGACATAATGATTCGATATTTGTATATATTGCAAAATTATTACAATAAGTCAACATCCATCATCACAGTTACAAATTTTTTTTCTTTTGAGCCCTTTTAAGATCTACTCTCAGCAGCTTTCAAATACACTATACAGTATTAAGTGTAGTCACCATCCTGTATGTTACGTCCCTATGACTTATTTATTTTATAGCTCAAAGTTTGTTCTTTTTAACCCTTTATTTGTCGTGCCCTCCCCCTGCCCAACTCCTGCCTCTGGCAACCACCGATGTGTTCCCTGTATCCTTGAGTTTTCTTGCTTTATTTTTTAGATTCCACATATAAGTGAGTTCACAGGGTATTTCTTTCTCTGACATATTTCACATAGCATAATGCCCTCAAGGTTCATGCATGTTGTCACAAATGGCAAAATTTCATTCTTTTTTATGGCTGAATAATATTCTGTGTGTGTGTGTATGTACACCACATTTTGTTTATCCATTCATCAATTGATAGATACTTAAGTTGCTTTTAGAGCTTGGCTATTGTAAATAAAGTTGCAATGAACATGGGGGTGCATATGTCTTTGAGTTTGCGTTTTCATTTTCTTCAGATAAATCCCCAGAAATGGAATTGCTAGGTCGTGTGATAGTTGTTTTAAGTTTTTTTGAGGACCCTCCATACTCTTTTCTATAGTGTCTGCACCAGTTTATATTCACACTGACGGTGCGTAAGATTTCCCTTTTCTCCTGGCCAACACTTGGTCTTTGTTTTCTTTTTTGATATAGCCATTCTGACAGCTGTGAAGTGATAGCTCATTGTGGTTTTGATTTGCATTTCCCTGATGATTAGTGATGTTGAGCATATTTTCCCTTATTAGTCTCTTGTGATCCTTTGTATTTCAGTGGTATCAGTTGTAATATCTCCTCTTTCATTTCAGATTTTTGAGTCCTTTTTTTGGTGAGTCTAGCTAAAGGTTTGCCAACTTTCTTTTCAAAAAAACAGCTCTTAGTTTCACTGATTTTTTTAAATTGTCTTTTTAATCTCTGGTTTAGAAACGACTGATTTTTGAACTGCCTTCTATGCTTTGGAAAGAATATTTTGTGAAGTCAACACACGGCGATATTAATAACAGTGTTAATGTGTGTGTTCCCTCTAAGACCATAAATTTCTCTGTTACAAGATCATTTAACTGGTACTTAGTAGAGCTTACTATGATGGATCTCTTCAGCTAATAAATCGTGTCATGTTAAACTCATTTTAATCCCCACTTTTCAACTAATACAGAGTTATAATTCAAGCTGCTCAATTCAGCTGTGTTTTGAAGAGTAGGGAAGGGCGGGATTAAAAAATCCATATATTATTCTTAGTCCTTTTCAACTTTCCCATTTGGTGGTAAACTTACTTTCAAAACTTCTATTGGAATTGGTCCCAGTCTCAGGTCTTGACACATAGGATATGAAAGATTCCCAAGTTAAGAAATGCCCGAAGTATTCTCACTCCTAGCTGCAGTCCTTTGCAGGCAAGCTTAGGTCTAAAATTCAGCTCTAAATTCCAGTTTCAGAGTTAACATGGCATTCTACAAATCTATTTCAAGATTAGGGTGGAAACATCAATACTTCTGCTACTTTGTCTGAAGAGGCAGAAACTAATAATAATGGTTACCAAACTTGTCCCCATTAGAATCACCTGTCAAAATTCCAAAACTGATGTCACACCTCAGACCAGTCAATCACAATCTCTGGGGAAAGTGTCACAGGCATTTGTAATTTTTAAAGCTTTCCAGGTGATCCCAATGTGAAGGAAATAATTGGAAAACACTTATTAATGGCACCCACAGAATTTGTTTTAATTTGGGTCTATTGTCTTGAGTTTCAATCCAGCTGTTGAATCTATCATTCTATCTTACTTGAAAGATAGATTCTTTAATAATGAAAATATCTGTTTTGTGGTCAGATTACAGGAACAAGTGAGGCCAGAGGGATCTCTGCAGTTACTTTATCTCAATGAATGTGAATTACAACAGAAAGTAAAATTTCTTTTTATAAAAGCCAGAAAAAGTCAAGCCATTCATCAGGTTCTTCTCAAAACCATCTAATCATTATACAAGCAAAATACATGAGACTACTTTACAACAGAAGAAATTATTAATGTGTATTTTAATGCTTTGTGATTAATTCCTGGTTTTGATCAGATTATATTTCTGTAATATAAGTCCCAAAACAATGACAAATAATGTAAATCAAAAAGTAATTTTTGTCTAAATTTGATTTAATTATTAGTTAATTATGAGTTAATAAAGTTAACTCAAATAAAATTAAGTATTACCTAATTCTTTGTAATTAGGTAATTAAACTCTTATTTAATGCTCTTAAGTAGTCCTATTATAGAAAAAAATGATGTAGTTACTGAACCTTTTGGTATATTTATGTACATTACAAATAATAGACATCCATTAAGGGGAAAGAGCACAGGAGTTTGTTGATTCATTCAACAAGGCCTTAATGAATAAGTACTATGAGATAAGCCCTGAACTGGGTGCTGTGGGTAGAAAGATGAGCAGGATCTTTGTACTCATGAAGTCTACAGTTTAATGAGGAAGAAATCCACTTTAATAAATAAATATAAAAACAGCTTATTAGCATTGTCATAAGAGCTATGCAAAAGAACTTATGAGAGAACATGAAACATCTGACTTGGCCTGTGATAAATGGTGGGTCAAGGAAGGCTTCCCTGAGAAGGAAGCTGGGACTTCATGAGACAAAATTGGTATTACAAGAAAGTGGGGGTGACTCCAGTGAAGGGTTTTCATTTTTGCGTGTTTGTTTCTGTCATCCAAGTTTGAAATTCAGTAAAAATGAGTTTTCTCAAAGGAGTGTCTGCAAACGTACAAAGTTAACTCTAACACCTAAAAAAAAAAAAACCCCAAAACTTAGCATTTTTATTACCATTGACAAAAAGTGGTCTTTGGGACCATAAGCATCCAGCTCTCAGTCATCACTCTGCCACTTCCTAGCTGTGTGACGTTAAGGACATCAGTTTACCTCTCAGCATCTCCTTGTCTCATTGCCTTGTTGATATAGTGAACATGTATATACAGCTGCTAGGGTTGCTGAATGAATCACATGAAATGATATAATACCCAAGTTCAAGTACTGGTGTATGAGTGCTCAACCAATAGCTCCTTTCTTTCCACTTGGTTATTCTGTTCAAAGTAATTTTGATTAAAGGACATGTAGCAGTGGGTTCCAAAATTAGATGTATAATATCAATCAATGGAAGAGCTTTAAAAAAATGCATAGATGTAATCCCAAGAGATTTTGATTCAGTAGCTCTTGTAAGGGGCCCAGTTATCTGTAGTTTTAAAAATATCTCAGGTGTTTCAGATGGTGAGCTGAGTTTAGAAACCACTTACCTAAGAAAGCTATAAAATGATCATCCCTTTTGAAATGTAATCAGGAGCATATATAGGGCTAAAATTCAATACCTTGGCTTCTAATTGAATCTAAACTGGCTTGGAAAAATCCCTTTCTGATGGCACAAGACACAGCACCATCATGATGTAATTATAGCATCCTGAAGTAACAAGTGGGCTGAAATAGTTTTCATACAAGGACACACTGAAAACTCTTCCACATTGGAGTCAATACACAGTTGTAGAAGAACAACCACTTATTACTCTCGTACTTGTGTCAGGCACTATCCTAAGACATAAAGCTATGCAAAAATTCAACCCTGACTCCAAGTTCTACCTCAAAGCTGTGAGTTCATCAATTTTGTGCTCTAAGAAAAACAATCACTTAAGAAACACTGAACTTAGGTATTTGTGTGTGAGCGCGCGCGCACACACGTGTGCGCTATTTTTAGCTCTTTAGGATGAATTCATGATAAAATTATACCAGATTTTTTCTTCTTCTGGAAGTTGAAACCACTCAGCCCTCATCTGTTAATAAATAACTACATTTATGGTTATCATTTGCTGTCACCACACAAGGTATAATTTGAAGGATGGACTTAAAGGAAAAGCAACTGTAAACAGAATGCAAGAACAACATTTGTGAAATAGTACACATTGTGTGTAGGTAATTTGAAACTGGACTTAAATGCAAGGATTTTACCATAATATAGTTATATTACTGTGTAGAAAGCA